ATCTGCCGATCCAGAACAACATCAAAGTAACCAGACCAACATCAAAGAACCCAGAACAACATCAAAGAACCCAGAACAACATCAAAGAACCCAGAACAACATCAAAGTAACCCAGAACAACATCAAAGAACCCAGAACAACATCAAAGAACCCAGAACAACATCAAAGCAGACACATCAAAGACCAACAACATCAAAGAACCCAGAACAACATCAAAGAACCCAGAACAACATCAAAGAACCCAGAACAACCATCAAAGAACCCAGAACAACATCAAAGAACCCAGAACAACATCAAAGTACCCAGAACAACATCAAAGAACCCAGAATCAACATCAAAGAACCAGACAACTCAAGAACAACCACATCAAACAGAACAACATCAAGAACCCAACACTCAAAGAACCCAGAACAACCTCAAAGAACCCAGAACAACATCAAAGAACCCAGAACAACATCAAAGAACCCAGAACAACCTCAAAGAACCCAGACAACATCAAAGAACCCAGAACAACATCAAAGTACACAACACAAGAACGAACACTCAAAGAACCCAGAACAACATCAAACAGAAAACCCAAGACAGACAACATCAAAGTACCCAGAACAACATCAGTACCAGAACACTAAACCCAGAACAACCTCGAACCAGAACACCAAAGAACAAACCATCATACCAGAACCCAAGAACAGAACAACTCAAGAACAGAACACATCAAAGAACCCAAACATCAAAGAACCCAGACCAACATCAAAGAACCCAGAACAACATCAAAGAACCCAGAACCAACATCAAAGAACCCAGAACAACATCAAAGAACCCAGAACAACATCAAAGAAGACAACACAGAACCGAACAATCAGAACAGAACACACAGAACCAAACACTCAAAGAACCCAGAACAACATCAAAGAACCCAGAACAACATCAAAGAACCCAGAACAACATCAAAGAACCCAGAACAACATCAAAGAACCCAGAACAACATCAAAGAACCCAGAACAACATCAAAGAACCCAGAACAACATCAAAGAACCCAGAACAACATCAAAGAACCGTGGCTCTCATATGCCTCAGATAAGATATTGTTCATGATTCAAGGTTGAGATAAAGACTGGCAGAGTTCCAAAGAACAAACCTCTGCTGACTAAAGGAACACACAGACGTGTTCATGATCCACAAGACTTTTTGGAAACTATTCTGTGGAATTATGGCATAATCTTTAAACATTTTGAAAGGTTTGCATCCTGTTACATGTGGTGCAAAATGAACAGCATTCCATAAAAAGGTCAAATATGGTGGTCGTAGTATGATGGGCTGCTGTTGCTTTGCTGCTTCAGGATCTGGATGACCCGGCGTGACCTTAAACAGGCTGTTCTCATAACCCTCCAATTTTATAGAAAGACGACATGGACAACATTCCTCCGCGGGGATGTGAGAAATCCATATCGCAAACACTTACTTACTCTTCTCGCTGCCAGCAGCACAACTTATTATTGGGCAATTCTTTTTTCACACAGGGCCAGACAGGTCCATTGTTTTTCACTTAATAAATCTGAATTTCATTTAAAACTGCATGTTCAGTGCTAGTCAGGTGTGTTTGTGATCTGAAACATGTGACACGCTTGCTCATTTTGTTTCAACATAATTCTGAGGCTCCTTATCCTGTAGGAGTGAACAACAGTTTGAGCTGAGATCTGTGATGAGCTGTGTGGTTGTGGATGTTTCTGTAGCTGGTGGATACTCGTTTCACTTTTTATCCTACTTATTTCTCAACTGAGATGTAGCAGGAGATGAGCTTGATGTCTAAAGTTGTCTGATGCTTTAACACAAACACACACCTGATGCTTGTTTATGTGTGTGGGTGGAGGTGAGCGAATGGTTAGACTGGTGTTTGCTTGCATATTTGAGTGTCTAATAGATTACTGCTGAACACTAAACATTTTGCCTCCCTGTTCGTCTGCTCCTCTTTGCAGCCATGCACCTGTTTGGTCTAAACTGGCAGCTTCAGGAGAGTGAGGGATACGGAGCCTTTGAAAATGGAGGTGGAGGAAGAGACACAACACCCAACACATTTATAGTGTCTACAGACAACAGTGAGTCCCTGCTTAAAGAATTTTTCCTTCCCTTTCTTTTGACATTAAAAACAATAAAAGCTGTGGAAAAGAGCTGGACGCAGGAGCCCAGGATAGCCTTCAGAGTTTACCACATATTATAATCTGCCACTCACTCTCAGAGGTCAGGGTTTCTCTCCAGCCCTTTTCAGAGTCTGATGTTTGATATCACTTTGATGCTTGGCAGGCACACACACACACACACACACACACACACTGAGTTGGACTTGAACAACACCCTTAACTGGCTTTTTTGAAGATGGAGATGTAGTGACCCTGCTCTGAGTCCCTCTGGACTCGAGGCAGAAAACAGGAAATGGACAGTACAACTCAAAGCAACCAGATACAAACCAAACAGATTTTCACAGCTATAACATGCTTTGTTTTTGAGTTATGCAGTCTGAAAACTTATTTTGAAGGCACTGACTAACAGCATTGCAAAGAAACCAGAGAAGTATTGTGAAAGAAAAATGAGTGTAACAGGTAACAGAGATGTAGGACAAAAGCCACGGCTGCTGACCTCACCCTGCCAGTCACGCTTTTGTTAAATGTGCAGCTTTTCTGTTCTGTGGTTATTCTCTCTCTTTGTCTGCCTGTCAGACTCTTTTAGTTTCATGTCTTCATTTTCTCAGCTTTTCTTGCCTTTTTTTCTCAATTCGTTCTTTTCTTTTTGTCGCTGCTCATCCCTTCTGTTCACACCACAAAGCAGTGCTGAATAAAACTTAAAATGAGCGAGATAACAGCAGCACACACCGACTGTTGGAGGATGTTTACTGAAAGCTGTGAGGGCTCTGAAATCGTTGTTTGGAAACAGAGAAAAACTGTAAATGTTTCCTTTCTGCTGGAAAACGTTTGCTCCCAAACTTTAAACTTACAACAGTTTAAATATGTGCAGGGATATGAGTCGAAAACAAGTCACAGATAATGTTAAAGAAAAGAAAGAAAGAGTTAAACAGGTTTAAACGATTTAGGCAAAGAATGAGTTAATGGCAGTGTTGGAAAGCAGATCTCCACTCCTGTGTGTTAGCTGTTATACACAGGAAGAGTGAGGAGAACTACAGAAACGTCAGGGGTGGGAGTCTTTCTCACATAAGAAATAATAGTTTGCGTCTTTGAGTTGAACACTTGTGTTATATGCAGCATGTCATATCAGCTAATGCATAGCACAGGTAAATATTCACACTCTGCTGACACACCTGAGCCAGTGCTGGTGAACACACTCTAGCTCTACTCTCTGCAAACTACACTGCAGCTAAAGAAACACAAACAGGTGTGTGTGCCATGATTCCTTTGTGTGAAGGAACATTTTCTCAGTATCAGTTAGTGTTAGTGTCACAGTCCACGACTGACACATTCAAGGACATTCAGTAAATCACATTGTTGCAGGTTTAAGGGCGTCTTTGCTTTAACAGTGTGGCAGTTCTGAACACAATAACATTAATAACACAACAGCCAAGTTAACTCATAATCCCGTCCATTACAGTATAATACATTCTGTCAACGTTTAGTAAGGTGTAGATTCTATAAAACTTGCATCATTGACGTTTGTCCTTGTTGTTATGGCCCTCCCAGTCTTTTCTTTAATGGTTTGTGTGGTAGGTGTTCCAGGTTAACTGGTTTTTACTTTAACTGGTCAGATTTTTCTACAAATTCCACTTTCATTGTTCCAGATGTTATACCTGCAGATTATTCTTTACCCTCTTAAAAGCATGACATACACTGGAGTTTCTGTGTGAGGTATGGGGTACAGGTCAGGAGGAAGAACATGTCATCTACTAATCAAAGCAGTGGTGGTGGTTCAACTCCTGGCTGCTCGAGTCTGTGTGCCAAACATCCTTGAGCAACATATTAACCCCAAGTTGCTCTTTGTTGCGTTTCCTGGAGGCTGAATGTTGGATAGAAAGCACAGAAAAACATAGCAAAAGTGAATGAGGCAGGTTGTATAAAGCATCCAAGGTGCTTATACAACCTGCTCTGCAAGAGTAGAAAAGAAGCAGCCCAGTTACCATTTACATATATAACTGTTAACCACAGGGATCAGCCACGTAAGCGTTTCATGTCCACCTGACTGAAACACTGAGTGCCGACACTTTCTGAGGTTCAGCTTTTGTTTTCTTTCGTGACTTTGCACTCACTCAAAAGAAAACCTTAATTAACCTGTAAGAAATCTCTGAGTGTTATTATATGTTCACTTACTTACTGTTTTCAACTGACCAAACATAATCATTTCTTCTGCAGTGAATTTTCTGTAGTGAAGTACCACAACCAATGTAACCTGTCTCCAGTGTCTGTTAGCTCTCTAACAAGCACTGGTATTATCTCCGATGTCGATGATGGACAGTGTTCTTCCTACGTAGCCATGATGGTGGCTTTTAGAGCATCTCATGGATTCAGTTTGATGTGTTTTCCTTCTGCAGGTAAGATGCTTTTTCTAGAGAACAACACCATAGACACAGGAGAGGTGGATGTGGGGAGACGAGCCATACAAGATATACCTGCAGGTGAGCTGTGTACACAAATGCACCTGTGTCGGGATCTGCTGTGATTAATACTCTGTAAACTCAGTGTAACATTTCCAACACCCCACACCAGTTTGTAGGATTGTTACGTCGTGTAGTGGAATCTTTCTGTGTTTCACCTCCATGTTTCTGTTAATCAGTTATATCAGTGATGGCAGAGATTCTAACAATTCAGTGGAGTGTGTTACTTAAATCTACTACAAAGAGGAACGTAATCATATTATAATAACTATACTTGCAAACAAGGCAGCACAGTGGTGATTAGCACTGTTACACACAGCAACAAGGTCCTGAGTTCAATACCCCCACCTGCCCGGGGCCTTTGCGTGGGTTCTCTGCCTTCACAGTCCAAAGACTTTCATTATCTAAATTGTGAGGATGGAGTTATAAATATTCCACATGTGAGGAACTCTGCATCTGTAGCACTGTGAATGAAATCACTAGTTTTGTTTACTGGTTTTCACTTCTGACATTATTTTCGAGTGTGTCACGGTAATAAGCCTTAAAGGTTAAACGGCTTTCTTGAAATGAATTCCTTTGCCACATATTTATGAATAAGACGCAGTAGTAACTTGCTGTGCTACAACACCACAGGCAGTTGCAGGAAACAGAAGTTGATGGGAAATTAATAACAAATCACACTGTTTTTATAAAGACAACTAACACTGAGAAGGCGGCATTTCTGAAAGTCAGTTGGGGAGTGTTAATATTTAAATCACTGACGTTAATGTTGTTCTGTTTCTTTATTCAAGGTGTGTTTTGGAGGTCCCAGCTGTATATCGACCAACCACAGTTCCTGAAATTCAACATTTCCGTCCAGAGAGATGCTCTTGTTGGTGTGTATGGACGCAAAGGCCTACCACCTTCACATACACAGGTAACACGGGAATGCAAATGTTACCAGGACTACTTTAGAACTACTGCACCAACATATTGGAGAGTGGAAAAAGTGCATGAAGTGATATTTTCACCATTTGAAGTACTAATGAAGTAATGTCTAGCTTTAATCATTGATTCAAACAGCAGTGATAGTAACCTGAGTGATTTTCACGTTGTCGTGCTATGACATAGGTTCAAGTTTTTGCCATTTGGCAGTCAGCATTGACTTTTAAGAGACTGCTAATATATCCTCTGTGCCTCTGTGTCCATCCTTTCATTGTTAATAACATTCAGGGCTCTAGAGTGCGACCAAATATTTCAATGGTGCGACTAAAATAAAATCCTTGGTAGCACCAGTGCAACCAGCTGTTCCAGTAAAAAAAAAAGTCTCTGAAAGTCCGTGTGGTCAACAACTGACACACATCATGCCCCTGTCGTGTGTCCCAATCAGACATAGTCAGGGGCGGGACCTCTATGATATGAGAGAGAGGTGAGTAGCTTGAATAAAGCGATATCGATTCATTAAATCCTGAATCGACTTTTAAATATAAACTTATTTTGCCAGAAACGCCAGAATCTCAGGTTAAAGCTCACAAAACTATTTCAACAACCATCATGAGAGCAGGTAACGGACTCCACACAAAGACGTAAACACAGAGCGGACCGACGCATCAGAATCAGCTTTCTGTTTCTCGGCTTTCTCACCCGACGGCCCGTACACGGACACGCCGTCGGGGCTGAAAGCCGACAGCTCGCTGACTCTGATGCGTCCGGTCCGCGCTTTGTGTTTACGTCTTTTTTGCACGAGATTCTGATGCTGCAGGTTTTGTCTCTTTCCAACCAAAATTCACTGAACCAGCAGCAAAAGAAGATCCAAACTACGCTTCGCATAAACATCGTCATGAATTCCCTCTGACTTCTGCTGTTTTGCACTTCATGCACAGCTCTCTCTCTCTCTCTCTGTGTACTTCCCGTCTCAGATCTCTGTTTTCGGCATCATTCATGTGCTTATTACCCATCAGTCTACCGTTGTTTTAAAATGATGCAAAATTTTATCTGCTATAAAAAGCCAGGCCAGGAAAGTCTCCTTCATGTTTTTTTCTCTTTTATCCTCAGTTACTTTGACACAAAGGCATCTGCTGTGATGTTCCCACCTCTGATGAAGTCTCACGTGTATCAGTACTGATAAATGATCAGAATTATAATATTTCTGACTGTCTGAGGCTAAATTGAATCGAATCGAATCAGGACCTTGTGAATCGGGATCGAATGGATTGTAGAAATCAGTGATGATACCCAGCCCTAGTGAGCCGTAGTGAGCAGCCTAGGCCTGACAGAAGTGGCTGCGATAGCACTGCCCAAGTGGCCCCTCTCCCAAACAGGCCGTCAGAGGAGCCGATGTGATGATTGAGTTTAACATTGTCTGCAATATTGCCAAAGAGTGCCAACGCACTTTAAGCACAAGCACCCATTCAGTAACTTATCTTTCTTCTAGAAATGCACTCCAAATAAAGAACTTTGTGTTGACAAGATTGTTAGTTAATCATTTACAAATCAATTTTGTCTGTATAGACAGCAATTCCCCCCAAAAGTGCACATGTAGAACTGCTGTGTTAAGCGATGTGGTTGAAAACTTTGGGTGCGCCTAAGAAAAACAGTTAGGCATAGCAGTGCAACCGTGGCAACAAATTAGTGTAGAGCCCTGACATTATTTTCCAGCATCTGCGTGACTCATTTGTAAAAAACAAAAACAAAGCAACATTTTTGGAACAAAACAAAACTAAGTTCGGCTGAATGTTTTCGGTATTGCTGCGTCTCTGGTCTTTCTGAAGCTCTTTCACAGTTGCTGCTTCTTTGCTCATTTTTCCAGTGAATTTTCTTCTATTGGTCAAACGTATCTAAAGTCAGAGAAGGAAGCTGACTCAATGGGATGTGACCCTAAGTAAGTTTTAGCCCACTAAAGACTATTACTAATTATTAATTAATAAGTAATCATCTGGGAAAGGATAAGGAACTCATTTAGACAACAGATTACCTTCAAGAGAGAGTGACCTAACTCACCACTGAAGGCCTCAGGGGAGCAGAACGACTGAGAGGAAGTGTCAGAGCAGGTTCAGAGCTCGGTTCGAACCAGGTTCGGCAGCCTTGGTGTTAGGGTTTGAATCATGGCGTATATCTCATTGGTGAATTTTCAGAAGAGAAGATAATCTGTTTATGTTGACCTAAAACATTATCCTGACATGGAACATGCAGAGTCTGTACATAACCAGATTGTTCTGTTATGTTGGCTGAACTCCAGTAAAGGCCTGACACAGGACCTGAGAGCTGCATCTGGCCCTTCAGCTGATCATCGACTGTTCGCTGAAGCCTGATGGTGTCGATGGGATCTGGTTAGAATTGGAACCATTTGACTGGCAATGGCTTCATGTTTGAGGATGACAATGGTCCCAAACACACGGCCAGTGCAGTAAAAGCATACTCGGATAGAAAAAACACACAATGGAAAGCTTGCAGTACTGGACTGGCCTCTCACAATGTCAGCCTCAACATTATTAAAGTGCGATCATTCTGACAGAGGACAGAAAGAAAGGCAGCCGAGATCCAAAGACGGACCTTGGAATCTCCTTCAAGAAGCCTGGAGAATACTTCAATAAATGATAAGAACAGTACAGGTGGCACATATCATGTGGCTGTTTCTGTTTATGCTCGGTCATGTCTGAAAGGGACTGAGAGGAACCTTCATTTATAATGTAAATATAGATGAAAGGGCATCTGTCAAAAGGTTAGAAGCTATGTTATGCATTCAGCATACAGAGCTGACTCATTTAATTGTGGTGTATGCGTGCAATAGTTGCCATGGTAATGTAGGTCATGACCCTGGGATGAGATTTTGTAGGCAAAGGACGACATGATATGTTTCCAACTGAGACGATATTGATGTTTTTATCTTTACGCCTCAAAATGAAACCTCACTGAACCAGTGGCTGCAGCTGATATCTGTTCACTACTATAACATTTAGGACAGTTTGTCGTCGTCCCTAGTTCGTCTGACTTTTCTGCTTTCAACAAATTTCCGAAATGCTCAGAAAAGCGCATCAAATCAACACAGGAACGACGGCGCCGTCCTAGTGGCAGCCTAATGCAGCTGCTCTCCGACTCTCTGATTCTGATTCAAGTTATAAATATTTCACAGGCAACTTTGCAAGTGAGTGAAGTGCTTCATAACTCTTAGTCCAAAATGAATATAAGCTTCTTCACTAAACTATCCCTTTAATGACGACATCTCTGTGTTCTGTCAGAGGACTGATCCACGCAGTCACACAGCTCAGTGTTAGCACTTTAGATGACTTTGCTTCCTGTAAAAGGGAGTTTTTCCCCTTTCACTCATTGTTTTCTCTGTCACTGTTGTTGTGAAATGGTCCATTACACACAGAGCGAATTTCATAGACGTCTGTTATGTCATGTGAATACTCAGAGTTTAATTGGTGATATATTTAAGATTCACCTAAGACCATGTGACAACATCGTGGCCGGTTTAGCTCGGTGGGCTGTGTGGCTGAGAGCGGCTGGCCAGGGTTCGAGGCTGACCTCTGTCCTTTCTGCATGTGTTTTATTTAAAGGGACAGTGCAGTCTAACATAGTCCAAGTGCAAAACATGAAACTGATGTTATTGCTCATTTTCAACCATTGTCCCTTGTTGGGCTCACAATCACAATGCACATGTTTTACAATAGGACATAAATTTTCATAAAACTAAAATACATCATGGATACAACTACAATTAATAGACAATAAGTTAAAAAGAAACAACAACAAAAAATCATTAATTAAAACGACGACAGCTCTGATTTGCCTTTAACTAAACTTTGACCTTCACTGTAAAGGGTCTGATGTTTGGTTGGAAGTGTGATCCACAGATGGCAAGCTGGAAAATGCTGACTGACCAAATGTAGCTCTGCGATGTGAAACCCCACTGTTCACCATGCTCCCTAGTGAGATGTGTTCTCACTGCACTGCCTAATAAAGACCAAAAAAAGACCACTCGATTGTCACACTGACCTGCACTGCTGTCCTTGCCAGGCCTTGGCCCTTCAGGAGAATCCAGGTACTGTGCAGGGTGACAGAAACTGGACATGTTGAGCATCAACTCTAAATCTCAAAGAGCACAGTGGTTAGATTGTCATAGCTGAAACTTTAGGCTAAACCTTGGGGAAAATAAGATGTTTGCATTATTGTGCTTTTTTGTTTTCCAGTATGACTTTGTGGAACTGTTGGATGGTAGTCGACTTATTTCGAAAGACAAACGAGCACTGAGTGACACCGACGCAGCACACATACGTCTAGCCGGTTCTTTCGAAGAAGAGTCTGAGGGAGGCCCCCGACATATCCGCTCCGTGAATGTGCATGAGGCTGGGTTCATCCAGTACCTGGACACTGGAATCTGGCACCTGGCGTTTTACAATGATGGACGAAACACAGAACAAGTCTCCTACAATACCATCATCATAGGTGAGACATGCTTGTTCTTCCTGGGACGTTGCTGTAAGAGTGAGTGCACCTCTTCAAAGCATGTGCTCAACGTATGTGCTACCAGCTTGTTGTTACAGAAATTCAAATCTACTACTACTGTTAATAATAACAACAATAATTATAGTGAGAAACATCAAAGCAGGTTCTGGAGCTCATGGTTATCTGGAACGTGACAGACAACTCGAAGCAACGTTGAGTAAAGCTGCATTCGATTCCCTGATAAGTTATCTCGAAAAATGAGTTTGAAGTGAAAATACAGACAGTTGACTAACAGATTCAAGCCCAGAACTTTCTGTGAGGGAGCGTCAGTCACGATGTAATCTACATGTAAATGACAACAACATTTCATCCAGTTTTACTTTTTAACCAAACTGGTTGTGGTTATGCACCACTTACATAATCGTCTGTTAGGGTTAGCGCTGTAAAAAGGATTATTCAGTCTTTGTTTAACATACTAGAAACCTTGAATGGGCTTTTTAGGGAAATGCAGGCACGATAAATGAATTTGGCAGATAAACCTGGTGAGACTGAAGCGGCCTGCAACTATATTGGCTGGATGTGATTTTCAATAAATGACCAATATTTAATGTAATACTAGTGTGCTGTGAAAACCTTCACTGGCACACGTGTGTGCAGTTTTAATTAGAGCAAAGGAGCAAAGAAAAGCACGGCAGAGAGGGAAAGAGCGGTTGTGGTGATTGGATGCATTGATTGGACTAATTGGCTGTAACTATGGTAATAGCAGAAGAGCAGTCACACAGTTTGGTGTGTGTATGTCTTTAAATAATCTCTCTCTCCCACTTTAAATCAGAGTCGATCATGGAGTGTCCTCACAATTGTCATGGAAACGGTGAATGTCTCTCGGGGATTTGCCACTGTTTCCCAGGATTCCTGGGGCCCGACTGCTCTCGAGGTAAACGATTCTGCCTCGCCTACAGGGAAGAAGTAATTGTTGCATGATCCCCCGTTACTTTTAGCAAGGAAGGCACTGACCATGACAAAGACTTTAAATATTTTGCATGTTTTCAGCTGCTCTGTTTAGGTTAAGTGTGCTCCTTAATCAATCAAGAATGATTGAAACGTTACACTAAGTATTTATAGGGCACGAGCTTTATAACTGAATAGCATTTTATTGAACATTAATCCATCTTAGTTGTTTACACAGTACGTAGCTTGATGGGAACTCGAGGGTTCAGTTATCTTACTGCCTTTTTTGGGTGATTTAGTAAGTGTGACTTGTTCCGTTCATGCATGTGTCGGGTGCAGCGTCCTGCCCGGTGCTGTGCAGCGGTAACGGTCAGTACTCTCGTGGACGCTGCCAGTGCTACAGTGGTTGGAAAGGTACCGAGTGCGACGTGCCAGCCAACCAGTGTATTGACATCCACTGTGGAGGACATGGTATCTGCATAATGGGCGCCTGCATCTGCAACACTGGTTATAAGGGAGAGAACTGTGAGGAAGGTAAGAGTGTGAAAGTGTCACCACAGCACTGAAGTTCCACGTAACCTTTCATTCAGTAAACTATTGTTATTCTAATTATTATTTCTCTTGTGTTGTTTTGGTGTTAATGTTATTTCTGCATGTGATCTTCTTATAGTGTCTCACACTTGTGCAGAATATTAAACTCTTAAATATCATGTGTAGACCTGTCATGGCCAGAGGCACCTGTGATGCTTTTAACTTAGATTTAACTCTGCTTGGACTAATATTTCCAAAGTCTCTGACAAATACTCAGGAAAAAGGCCCTGTTAGCCGTTAGTAACATGCTACAGTTACCTCATCTGGTTCCCATTAGTTTCGGTTTTCAACAAGAAAACTGAGAAAGAGCAGATCCATCTCTCGCCTGGACAAAGGTTTATGCTTTTCTGCTTTTGCCTCCATCTGTTGTCATGATTAGCTGGTATCTATGCAGATAGAATAAGAGTCCTAACAGTAGAGAGGGGCTCGACTGCTGCATCAGTAACAAAGTGGAATCGACTGGGACTGACAGCGGCTCACGCATGCAGCGGTACGCTACACAAGCTCACAAAGTGGAGTCAGTGGACGCTGAAGCACAGAGTGTGGTAGGAGGCTTTCTGCAGAGTCGGGCACTACAGTCACGTGACTGCACGTCACCTTCAGATTAGCTGAAGAACAGCGCGCTTTCCATGGCTGAGCAGATGCATCCAAGCCTTGCATCACCAAGTGATGTGTCACGTGGAGTGAAGCACACTTCCACTGGACTCTGTAGCTGTGGAGAGGTGTTCTGTGGAGCGATGAACCACGCTTCTCTGCCTGCCAGTCCCATGGATGACTCTTTACTATAATGCTCTTCCTCTACAATAATTCAATTATTTAATTGCCCTTTTGTTCAAGCTTCCTGCCCTGTACTTTATCAAACTCCTTCCTGAGATTTTATCCAATAAATATCATCTAAAGACACCGGCGATGCTAAATTGTGAAGCAGGAACCTTGTGACCATTTTCAATAAAATCTCGCTGGTGATATAAAAAAATGTGACATATTCTTAGTGTGTGTTGCCATGGGCACAGATGGTGATGAGTACCTGTGTGCAGCAGTCAAAACTAGAATCCAGAGCATGAACTGCTTCGACTGTAGCCACGCGGACATGTGGGGATTTCATTTGAAGAACGGTGAAAACAGATCTACCCGGTGTTTGTGGACAAACTAATTATTTAATTATTACATTAATATTGTAAAACCCCTAAAAGGCAAAACAATCTATACATCATTCCCGTATTAAGAGCTTTCTCCCCATCCCTCTATAAATGTCATGCGTTCAGCTGCAGTAGCTGCAACAGATTTATACAGATCAATTTGCAATTTTGCTCACTTGAAATGAAAGTTTTTAATTTTTATGATCTCATTTTAATGAAAAGAGACCGAATATGAAGCAGAAATGTAGAAGAATACTTTATATGAACGGTGTAATTATCAAGTATATGAAATGATGTTGACGGAGGTCTGGAGACTGGTGGAACTATCCCTGTGCCTTTGTAAGCAGGGGGACACTGCGAGTGCTGCAAGATTTCAGTGTTACCAATGATGTTCCTGGTGACCATGGTCCTAACTGCTATTAGACCATTAACTGTGTAGTTTTGGGCTGATCCACCACAGGATCACTCTCATCTCCTGAGACCAAGGTCTTGCACGGAGTGACTGATGATTGACTGATGAAGCATTTTCTATTTCTTCCAATCGGAATAATTGTTACCTTTTCACCACCATCTTGGTCTTATGGCCGGTGCAGTCTTGTCTCTCGTGCGTTTTGCCCACGGTGGTGGAGAGGTCGGAATGGAAGAAACTGATTTTGTGGACAGGTGTGCTTTAGACACACAAGTTTAAGTGTCTGTAAGTAATTTACTGTTACATCTGTGCCACATGGGCACACAGCCCATCTGTGGGAGCCAGAATTCAGGGGTAGGGAGCCAAATGCTTACATCACTGTGTTTTTCTGAATTTTGGTTGATATTCTGTCTCTGCACTAAAAGCAAACTTACCAATTCTACAGGGGATCTAATAATTATTTCCCCAGCTGTAAGTGCTTAATTGATTTATTCTAATATGATGTGCAAATACATTTCCACAGCATCTGTTTTAGCCAGATACCTGGCTACAAGCAAGATGCAAACAATGCACTACACTAATTCAAAGTCAATTAATCAGTAATGACCTGCACAGGCATACAGCAGTGCTGAGGGAAGTGATCTCATCTGTGATTCACATTGTGGGTAAATGCAGACACAATGCTACAAATATGAAAATGCATAACACAGCGGACAGTAATCACATTACTTTCAGATGGGTTCAGTCATCAGTCAGAAAGAGACAGACTGTGTGTGTGTGTGTGTGTGTGTGTGTGTGTGTGTGTGTGTGTGT